ACAGTTACATTGTTTCGAGTCTTCCTTCAATCGCCCACGATTTAACAAAATGGAGCTTCAGAAAAAAAGTCTCTGAAACAGAGGTTTCAGAGGCTGAAAAAAAAAAAGCAAGGCACAGAGCTCATAACCAACGAAGCTGTTGCTAAAATTCACCTCTGAGAACAGATGATTGGGGGTATTCCAGGAGGCTGATCCACCTGCCAATCAGTTTTTTTCTTATTTTCCTCCCCAAAAACTAAGGTACGTCTTATACTCCGGTGCGTCTTATAGTCCAAAAAATACGATATAGAGAGAGAAGAGCTTGGTGGCCTAGTGCCCACCACCTAGTGCCCACCTCCTGTTCAGAAGATTGAGAGTTCAATCCTAGGTAGTAGCCAATATTTCTCTCCTAGGGCGCGAAGAAAAAAAAATTTGCTGTGAACTCTGCATGGTGTCACGAAATGCTCAGTTCCATCCAGTTGCCTCAACTCTACCCCAGATTAAGGGATTACAGGATCATAAAAAGGGAGCACTATGACATAGTGTGTATGTGTATCATATATTAAGATAAACACACACACACATATACTTTGAGAGAGAATGTGAACATGTCATAGAACTGTAACACCACAACGGTATGTAATTTTTCAATGATTTAAAAATCATTGATCACCATTCATCCTGTTGCTAAAATCTCTGCTATAGGATTATGTAAACTACAGCTGTATAATATCATTCTACAATAAATTATAGCATAGGAGTATTAAATTGCTTTTCCTGGTTAATATTTACATAAAATTATAATTGGATAAATCATTATTATTCTCATTTTAAAAATATTAAAAGTTTATGATGCCCACTAAACATGGTTACACTAAACATGTGCCAAACTGAAACTGGTCTCACACAAGTGCATAGCTTTAACTATTAAAGAGAGCAAGGTAATCTTACAGAAAAAGTAATATTCCCAATAAAGTAAAAAAAAAATATTTCTTAAAGTTTACATCAAAAAAGAAGGAAAAAACAATTATTTATTAATATTAGGAGTACCTGCCAAGAAGTAATCTTAATGTCATAAGTTAGTGCAGTTGAAGTTAACTGCAAAAATATACAATTATTAGGTGATAAGAGTTAATGAAATTATTCTCCCAAAGCAACAATTTATTTAAACCACATATTGACTCTCGTGCAGGGGGTTTCCTTCTTTCAATTATCTAATTTCATGTACCAAATTTTACATGGAGTGCAGGCATCATCTCCTCTTTGTAACTCTCTTGCATTCTTCACATTTTTCTTCTTTTCTCCTCATCCTTACAGGGGAAAAAAGCTGTTAAAAAACAAGAACAAAATACAGAGTAGCTCAGGTATTTTCATTGGTGGCAAGCCAAGTCTTTCATCCGGAAGAACAGTTTGATACTGGACTATGCGCAACACATAAGTGTGAGGACCTACTGTAAATTTTTCATTGTTGTTACTTGAACAGTTGTTAAATGAAGGGTTATAAATCAAGAGCTAACTGTATTGGAATGTGGGGAAAGATGCAGGAAAAGGTCCCAAACATTTTACCATAGAGTTCATATAGCTTTGACCAACAGAATTAGAAGAGTGTGTGTGTGTGTGTTTGTGTGTGTGTTTTATATACATATACATACATATGCATACAATATATAAACATACTGTGTAAGTATACACACACACACACACCATATATCATGATGAAGTCTTGCAAGGCCATTCATCATTATAAAGGGAATTAAATGAAATAATGATAAAAATCTCTGTGTTCCATTAAGTGAGGGCAAGGGCAAAAATCTGCCTCCAGAATTTGTCACTGAACTACAAACTTTAAAGTGCACAGGGAGTAATCCATAATTACCACAAACAGTAATTATGTTTACATTTGAACTTAAATTAATTATAGTATATGCCCAGCTTGCATCTTTTGTCTTCCCCACTTTTTGGAAGGCAGGCATGCCAAACCATAGGTCAAAAATGGCCTTCAGCATTATGAGCTGCCTATATTTTCCTTTCTTAGATATCCCTCCATTAGAGACCTTATTAATTTATGTGCTATGTTGTACACATGCCTTTGTTCAGGGCTCTGATCTATAACTACATGAATCCTGTTTCCTCTACTATAAAACAGTGTACATCTGAGTTTTCTGTATCTTGAATTATCTCCTTGGACTTTTTCCAACTCAGCATTCTTTCCACAGTTCTTTCTGCCTGAGGTCTAGGATTTTTGGCTAAGTCACCCTTTTGTTTTCTTCACAGTGGCTTAATTTTTTTAAAAAACTGATTCATTTACACAGCCATTGGAATGTTCATCGAATTTCCATGATGAAATTTGTATTTACTTCACAATGAGTACACATATCTAGACTTGAACCTGTAATTACAAATGAGAAGAGCAAGTTTCCTCAGTTTTACTCCATGTTTTGAAAAAGATATCTAATGAACCTTCCAAGAAAATCGAATTTTTCCACACTGTCCAAAGGGAAAGGAAGGATCATCAGCTGCCTCCAGAACTTACTCACTAACAAGCAACGGATAATGCAGCACCAGGAGGAGCAGCGTCCATCTCAGCATTTTGGATGGCATAGTCATGAGTCAATATTCTGTCTGCTGTATCTTTCAAGGAAACAGCTACTTTTTAATGCTGCTGCAGATATGCATTTGCATCATCTAATGGTGGAGAAGGGGGCAGAGCCAAATTCAAATACTTCCCAGAAAACAATAGTGATATGAAGGTCATGTCTTCTATCCGCCACCATAATGTACAGGACTAGTTTTGGAAACAATGCAGGGTTCCTGTCTCCATCTCGTACAACTGACAAGGCCATGACTGCAATTTTAAATTGGCACTTGTTCTGAACTCAAGAATTCTGAACTCAAGAATTCAGCTGGTCATGCACACGCTGTAGCCAGGGCCGGATTTAGATGAAAAGAGGCCCTAGGCTATTCCATTTATGAGGCCCTTTCACTTATAGTGAAAGTGTAATTTTAATTTTGCTAACAATTTGAATGTAGACCCCTCTTGATCTTGAGGCCCTAGGCTGAAGCCTAGTTAGCCTATAGGAAAATCCTGGCTGTAGCTCACCTTGATGATACATGGACTCAGATTCTCTGACCAGTGAAGACAGCTCCTATTATTTTGTAAAAGTGAATCAGGGATTGATATTTATTGGTTTTCCCAACACTATTGCAAATAGAAATGGCCCTGCTGAATTTTCCTAAGTACAGGCAATGGTGGGGATACAGTACTAGAGCAAAACATTGTGGGACATATAGGAAAACTGTTAGCTTTATCTCAAGTTTTCGCTCTGTTACAAAAGATTAATGGCAAGGAGTAGTTGTCTGGTGGACAATTGTCCCCCCCCCCAAAAAAAAGTTGTTATTGATTCAAACAACACATTGAAGTCAAACTAGCTAAGTTGACTGTGTGAATCCAAGCCATACAATTTTTGATGTGACAAAACTCAGAAATCGATATGAATATACCGTAATTAGCCATAGGTCAGTAATAGTTCCATGCAAAGCAAGTCAGCAGTAGCAAAACAACTGTGCTCAAAACACTAAAGCAGTTTCATGCTTTGGAAATTCATAAATTTGCTTCTAAAGGTGTTTCACTAGAGATTCCAATGGAAGTTTTGTCTGGGTGGCTCAACAATCAGCCAGGAATTGCCTGTTTAAATGTTTTAAGCTTCGCTGATGTCCCAGAGGTGCTTTTTCAAGAGGCAAGTAGTCCAGTTGCCTCTTGAAAAAGCACCTTTGGGAAAACCATGACCTGGATGATTGAGAATCTCCAGACATTAAGCTTCACTGATGCTAAATAAATATTTTGTAAAGTATCTCTTTTCAATGCTTTCCAGCTCCATTAAGTACATTGTGCAAACATCGGCTACAACCATACCCCTAAATCAGGGAAGGAAGGAAAAGGTCGTTTAGGCTAAGCTTACGCATCATCAAAGCGAACCAGAAGTTTGCTTGTTCGTGGGTTTGCAATGTTATTATTACCATATAACTGGCTAGTAGGTTGTTTACAATCATGATGCTTAGGCGCACTGCGGGAATCTAATCCGTTGTGATTCATTTCGGGCAAACCAATTTTAAGCGGAGCAACCACGTTCGTCTATGACCGTGTTTCTCAACCTTGGTAGCTTGAAGATGGGTGGACTTCAACTCCCAGAATCCCCCAGCCAGCGCTGCTGGCTGGGGGATTCTGGGAGTTGAAGTCCACCCATCTTCAAGCTACCAAGGTTGAGAAACACTGGTCTATGAACACATTCCGAATCCGATTCTCCCCATGTCAAGCGCTCCCCGCGCCAGCCGCCGCGTGCACCAAACTAGCCCACCCGGCGTCAACTTCCGCAGATCCCCGCCGGGCCAGACACAAAACAGAAGCCGGGGGTGGGGGGTGGGGATGGGGGCAGGTGCCAGAGATCCGAATTGGCTCTTCCGGCACGGTCCTCCCAATCCCGCACTTCCAATCACTTCCCGCGTACCTTCCTTGTGGCTTTCCCTCTCCCTCCAATCGGAAGCCGCCCTCTCGCTGGCGTCTGAAGGAGGTCTCACCCCTCCCCGCGAGAGTCAGCTGCTCCTCCGCCCGCCCCCCCCCCCGCCCCACTTCCCCAGCCTGCGCCGCCGAGCGCGCGCTCGCCAGCTTCTCGAGCCGCTCCGGGACGGTTGTTTCTCCGCCCCGCCCCTTCCCAGCCGCGGGCGCGCGTGCTTCGCTGGAGGCAGGAGGAAGAAAGTTAACTGAGAGGCGAGGTGGGCGGGAGCAGGGCGATGGGGGCGGGGGAAGGAGCTCGGGCGCTTCGGGCGCAGCCGGATCGTCCGCAGGAGTCGCGATCGGGATGGGGAAGAGCAGCCGTCGAGGCGGCCGGAGGTAAGCCCCTCGCGGGAAAGCGGGGATTGAGCTTTATCTCCCGGGCGGGCGAGCGGGCGGGAGGATGGACGGCCGAGCAAGTTATTCCCCCGCGGGACTCGGCCGGTTTCTTCTGAAGCGAAGGCGAAGAGCGAGAGGGCAGAGAGTCCGGCCGGGAGAGAGGGCCCCGCCGCTGCTTAGTCTGAGTCGCGAAGTGGGAGCGAGGAAGGCGAAGGGGCCTCGGTGCCCTGCCGCCTGCTTGCGTGCTCACACCGACCGGAGCGGAAAGGTTTTCCTTGGGGCGGCAGGTGCGAAAACCTCGGGGAGTGGGGGGTGGGAAGAGTCGAGGGTGCTTGTTGGGGTAGGTGCGGCTTTTCCTTCTGGCTCGCTTGGACGCAGCCTCCTGGAAGTGCCCGCGGGGTGTGTGGCTGTGTGGGTGTGTGAATGACGAGGGTCAAGCCAAAAAGAGTCTGTAGGACATTCTCCCTTGGCGTTGCTTGAGGGAAGTCCCTTGAGGGCTCTGAGAGGAGAAGATGAACGGCAACGAAGAAACCTTTTCTTTTATTTATTCCCTCCCTCCGTCCTTCCCCACCTTCCCCGTTTCTGGTGGCTGCGCCTTCCCGCCGCCTTCCTTAACTCGGCTCCTTCTTGTTTACCTGCGTGCGCGACTTCTTCCGTCAGGCTCCACAATTAGTGTGTGCGCTCTTAAGCAACGTGGAAAATAACCCCCGCTCTGGCTCTGGCTCTTTAAAAGTAGATGTATACTTTCTCTTGAGGGCAGGCGACACAAGTTCATTTTTAATGGGTGCCAGCCAGTGGGCTCGCCGTAAAAAACATGACAACAAAGGTTATCTTAACCTGGAGGCTTTTGTAAGGGTAGACTGAGGGTTGATAACACAGGAGTTATCCCTCCTAATGCCCATCTCCAAACATTCGCAGTTAAAGTGGCTGCCTCTATAGCAGTGTTTCTCAACCTTGGTGGCTGGGGGATTCTGGGAGTTGAAGTCCACCCATCTTCAAGCTACCAAGGTTGAGAAACACTGCTCTATAGGGAAAGGAGCAGTGGTGGGATTCAGCCAGTTCGCACCACTTTGGGAGAACCAGTTGTTAACTTTCTGAGCAGTTTGTCAAACTGGTTGTTGGAAGAAATCATTAGGGCAGAGAACCTGGTGTATAAATTACTTGAAACCCACCACTGGGCACTGGGTGGTGGTGGTGGTGGTGTGTCCCCCCTACCCCCCCCACCCCGTGGCCTGATTTTGCTCCCAGGAGGGTGCAGGAGGCCGAGTGCTGCCTGTCACATCCCCTGGCAACGGCCACCATGGCCACACCCTGGTCATTAGGACAGAGAACCGGTTGTTAAATTATTTGAATCCCACCACTGGAAAAGAGGAAGGAAAATCCCGAAAGGTGTAGTTTTTATTTACAGTAAGGAGTTGAGGTCTGTCAAAGCGTAGGGCTTGTTGACATGATAGGATGTTCTACTATTGGTGATTCTCTTCCATTTGCAGAGCTTAAGCCTGAAGCAGAGATCCTATAGAATAGTCTAGTGAGTGTATGAAAGTTTTCAAGTTAGATACTTAGCACTTTTGGAATTTTATGTGCGCTTTGAAAAATAATAAACTTGGTTTGTGTAAAGACCATTTGGAATATCTGTCCCATTTAAAGGTTTAAAAGATTCAAGTTTCAAAATTAATGGTAATTTTGGAATGTTATATAACTAGGTTACGTTTTAACCATAGATGTCTATATTCAAGTTCAAGGGAAGTGTATGAAACGTCTTCTATGCATTCCTTAAAAATAGTACATATTAGTACAAGTAGGTATAGATATGTCAGATATCAACTTCTTAAAATGCTGTTGCTTATAACACAGGATTCAGGAACTGACTTTAATGAAATCTAAAAATGTTTTAGTAATTTTAGAACTACCGTATAAATACATTTTTAAGCCTACAACTTAACACAAATTTAATTAAAGTGGCATGTTTTAATTTCATTATCATTATATGTTAGAAATATTTTAGCAAAATATGTTTTTTTCTTAAGAATAGTTAGTTGTGATTGTTATTTGCATTATGTTGATGCCTGATGAAATTTGCATTTGATGTAGTTGCCACATTGTAAATTTAAATTTAACACATAGGTTATCTATGCTTGTTTCTATTCTTATAATCTCCTCTATCCAATTATTAAAAATACAAATTATTAAATAAAACTATTCAGCTACTTCTCAATTATGGATCAGTTTACCCTAGAAACATGTGAGTTGAAATTAGAGTCTGGGGGGAGAGGATGTTAAATTAAATTAAATTAAATTATCATTTGAAAGATGGATGTGTAATCACTTATTGAATACATTCATATCCTGTATAATGTACAGATACAAATTATTTTAGCAATAACCAAAAGGGCTCATTTTCATTCTCTATATATGGTTTATAAGATTTATTTGCAAAATCATGTGTGTGAATGTATTGATATTGTGTGTGTGTGTGTGTGTGCTTGTCTGTATATGTGCTTTCAAAGCATCAGTGTTCCATGTCCATATAAAAAAAATCTTAAAATAAAAAAGCACTTTCAAAATAATAGTAAAATAACCAAGACTTTTCTTAAAATTTTAATAAATATAATAATGCATGTTTATAGATATTTTACTACAATGTAGTAATTAAAGGGCAAAGGGCAGGATCTAAAATTAAAAGGCAGGTTGAAAAAATAAATATGAGTTGAATGAGTTCATTTCAATCATTCTTTTAGTGGAAATAGCTAAGATAGTGCTGATACATATCATACTAGACAAGATGATTTACTCACAATATTATTTACTCACCATTTATATGGTGCCCATCTCATTATCAAATGACTGCATGGTTTAAAATGCCATAAATAAGTATAAAACAATTAAAAGGTTAAAACATTGGGCATTGAAAGTTAAAATATTAAAATTATTAACAAAGTGGATAAAAAAGACTAATGTGTAAACAGGGTAGAGGTGAAATCTTTTCTATTCTATTAGCCATCTCCAGAATCTGACCCCTCCATCAGAACTGCTTTTATTATTGATAGTGGAATAATGACTGACATGGCAGAGATTATATTAAGGATGGTTTACTCAAGTGGCTTGTTAATACTAAGAACATAAAAGTTATATTAATCACAGAAAGGGTTCTTTATAGGCATGCTGTTTTCAAACGTAATTACCAGGTGTTTCCTGGAAGTCTTAACAGTAAAAGCATATAGGCAATAACCTTTCTACAGTGTTCTCCTATTTACAGTTGTGCTGTCCTAATGTCTTCACTTATTTTCTGAAGGCTAAGTTTACCCACCTGTTCAATCTTTCTTAATAGGATTTTTTGGGTAGTGCCCTGAACAACCTCTTTTTTTCCTTTCCTGAATCAGTTCCATTTTTTCTGAATCCTTCTTAGAAGGTGATGTTCATAACTGGATCCAAGTCTGACCAAAGGAGAAAAAATGTCTGATTTGGAAATTATACTTCTGCTAATATTCATGCTGCAATTGTTTTTTTTTTCCTAGCATGTCATTCTGTTAGCTCATACGCATGTAATAGTTTGCACTACACTATCATTCAATGTCTTTTTTACAAATACTACTGTCAGGTTAAGTATTCTACATTTTGAGTTTTGTTTTTTAAACTTCTGCATTTGTCTCTATCAGATACCACGATTACTTTCAGCTGATTGCTCATCAAGATAATTTTGAATTTTATTTCTGTCTTCTACAGTATTAGCTACCATATCCCATTTAATTTTGTATCATTTCCAAATCTCATAAGCTTCCTTTTAACTCTTCATATAACTCATTCATGAAAATATTGAAAAGTAGAGGTCCTAGGACCAGGAAATTCCAGGTTACCTGTTTGATTTTTTTCTTGTTGATCTATCTCTCATTGTATTTGTTTCCTATGATTTTTTTTGTTTCAGATTTTTATAAACACTCTGTGTTTATCTATTTCTGCTATCCCAACTTTTATCACATTGTTTGCAGTTGTATTTTTAGTATCTCTTATTTAGAAACTCTGAAACCTTAAGACTGGTTTCCCTTAGTTTCTTTTGCAAGGTCTCCTATTTAGCAATGCTCTTGAGTTTATTCAAATCTACTTTCTTGAAGTGTAAGATATGCTTTTGCTTATGCATTCCCACTTAAGCAAGTAAGTATTGATTAGTATCATGTTTAAGGCTAACTGATTCTCTTGTGCCTTCCTCCCTCTAAAGGAGAAGGTTATCAGAAACAAAGTTCACAGATTCCTGGAAGCAGTGTGCTGATATTTAGTCTTCCAAGAGATGATAGGGTAGTTAAAGCTTCCTGTACCTACAGTTTTATGTTTGTTTGAAAGATCTACAATTTGCAATATGAAGATTTCAACCATATCTTGTTGTTGACTAGATAAGTAATAGTAGATACCAATAGTACTTTTCTTTCAGATGACCTTTTTTTTAAGCATATGGCACGTGTTAGCCAGAGATCACCGGGTAGCTGCCTCTGTGAAAGGAATTTTTTTGGGCAGTGTTATCTTTACCTGTGGGATGCCTAAGTGCCGGTAGGGGCACCTTTCTTGTCCCTATGCAGTTCATTCATTCACAGGAATCGAGCCGCCAACCTCAGTGGTGCTCAGGCCCAGCGTCTTACCATGTGAGCCACCGCTCAGATGACTTTATAGTTTTATCAAGTTTATTAATTTGGATTCCCAAGATATTTTTTAACATGTAGTGCAATTCCTTCTCTATTTCTATTGTTTCTGTTCCTTCTGAACAAATTGTGCCTTTTAGTTGCTATAATCTAGTCATGAAAACAATTCTGCCAGGTTTCCATTATTATATTTATGTTCTATAGCAAAACCTAAAATCATAATATTTCTCATATTGTAAACATTAATATATGTGTGTGGGGTGTGTGTGCAGTGGCCTACTGGTGGAGAAGCTGGGCTTCTCCACTGAAAGATTAGCAGTTCGAGACTCAAGTACAGTGTGACAGGGTGAGCTCCCATCTTGCCCCATCTCCTTCTAATTTAGCAATTCAAAAGCATGCAAATGCTAGTAGATAAATTGGTATCTCTTCGGTGGGAAGGTAACGGTGTTCTGTGCGCCTTAGAATTATAATCATGCTGGCCACGTGACTACAGAAGCATTGTCAGACAACGCTGGATCCTTTGGCTAGGAAATGAAGATGAACACTGCCCCCTAGAGTCAGACATGACTGAAATGGGGAAACCTTTACCTTTAAGCATTAAATGTATAGACAGTAAAAGTTGCATATTTTATCCATCAATATTCATACAGTATATGTATTTTTTTACTGAGTGGTTTAGGAACCTATACTTCAACACCTTCTGTCCCAAAGGTGCTTTTTCAGGAGGCAACTAGACTTCCTTGTTTTTTCTTTGAAGACGTTTCACTTCTCATCCAAGAAGCTACTTCAGCTTTGGAGCTGAAGAAGCTTCTTGGATCAGAAGTGAAACGTCTTCAAAGAAAAAAGAAAGAAAGTTCAGTTGCCTGCTGAAAAAGGATCTTTGGGACAACCATGACCTGGATGACTGAGAATCTCTACAGATTTCAACACCTTCTCTTTCTACAGTAAACTGCTCTTTATTCAAGATCCTCATTTGAGGAATTCTCTTTCTGACTTTTCAAGCCTTTCTAATGAAAATTACCATGCTGTGATACAAAATATTTCTTCCAAGCTATCTGAGGAATAGTCTGATTAATATCAATAATATACCATCTGAATAATTCCAGTCATAATTTGGGGAGACACAATCTCTCCATTCACTTCCTTTGTGTACCTAGTTCTTTCATTTCTTGAGTTATGGTATTTTTTCTTTTGTATTCCATGGAATGAAAGAAAGGATGAAAATACAGCCAAAGACTCAAAAGGTATTAAGCTTTTTTCCAAACCATAATGATGTAAGTATAGCAACATAATTTTTTTTTGCCATTTACATCTACTCATGTTAGAAAACATTCTATGCCGTGTTTTCCTGAAAATAAGACCGGGTCTTATTTTCTTTTGACCCCCGAAAAATCGGCTAGGGCTTTTTTTTGGGAGGGTCCTATTCCCCTTCCCCCATTTATAAGTATGAGACAGCAGGAGGCCAAGCGATGTGCCCTTTGCGCTCTCCTTACCTAACGGTGTGATGGTTGCAGCAGGCCATCCCATGTCCACGAAGCAGCTGCTTTGTGGGTGCTGCTCCGGCCACCGCCTCCAGCAAGCATGACTGCTTTTGCAGCCGCAAAAACATGTGCACCCCACACATCACTTGGTCTCCTCGTTGCTTGCTGTGCAGACAACACAAGGTGAGGTGAGGGTGGGGAAAAGGGGAGAGGAACCCGCCCCACATGCCCTTAGCTAACTGTCACACCTGCCAACCACGCAGAACAGCCTTGCGGCGGCCACTCCCAACAACCCTGGCCACCGGGCCACTTCTTTTGCGGTTGCAAAGAATGGGAGACCAAGTGGCCCGCCCCACGTGCCTTTCACTGCCTGAACTAACGTTTGCACAAGCCATCCACAATTTTTTTAATGGTGTTTATTTTGTCCCAAACCACGTGGCCCGGCGCAGCCAAAAAAAGCTGCCTTTTCTTTGCAAAAAAGGTCCCTTGTTGCAGAAGGTTTTGGATTTGGTGCTCTTGGCTGGGATCTTTGCAACCTCCTCTTTCCAAATATCCCACTGAAACAAAAGTGATGTATGCCTGTTTTTCACCCAGATGCTCATGGCAGCATTGCCAGGGTGTCACATGGTCAACATTCAATAGAGAGACAGAGCACATTGCCACCAGCCCTCCGAGGTTGGATCGGATCTCTCTCCCCCTCTCTCTCCCTCTCCCTCCCTCCCTCCCTCCCTCCCTCCCTCTCTCTCTCTCTCTCTCTCTCTCTCTCTCTCACACACACACACACACACACACACACACACACACACACACAGAAGTCCCTCACACACTCACACACACACCCTCCTAGGCAGCCACATCCCTTCATTAACTTGCTTTCCAGCTCCGTTCTCCGATGCGCGTGCAGGGCAAGACGTCTGTTGGACTATAGTTAAAAAAAAAAAAAAACGTAGTTCAGACCTTTCAACTTCTCATGGAAAAAAAAATCTCACAAAGTTGGAAAATCTCAACTTTTTTTTTACCGGTAGAAAAAGGGAGGGGATTTTCTTGCATTCTTGCATTCTTTCTTTGGGATTGCAGCAAAGACTCACATCCCAGGATTGCAAGGCTAAAGCCTTTGGATGGAGCATTTTGGGGATGTGCATCTGTCCTGCGATCCCAAATAAAGACCCATCGGTAGGAAAATAGCTGGGGGAGGGATTTTCCTGCACAATCCTAAACAGGGAAGGAGGAAGTTTGTTCCTAAGCTACGGCAGAGCGTTGCATTGGGAGGCTTCCATGGGTAATACCGGTATTGAATTGCACATCTTGCTCCAGTGAGGGGGGTGCGGACGGGGGGCCATGGAAGATGGGGTTTCAGTGTGCAAAGGAGGAGGGGGTAATCTCCCACTCCCTCCTGCTGCAGGATCGCCATGGAGCTCTTGCAGGGCAGTGTGACTACTGGTGAAGGGGCCCTGGCAGGCTGGCAGTTGGGGAGGTCTGGAGATCTGGGCCGAGTTGACTGGCCCTTGCTGGCTCAGATGAACTGTGGGCCACAATTAAGGGGCCAAGCCTCCATGAGGTGACTGGGAAAGGGAACGGCTGTCTCCTGTTCTGGCCACTCCCACCCCTTCGTTAGGGCTTATTTTTGGGGTAGGGCTTATATTAGGCCTACCCCTAAAAAAAATCAGGCTAGGGCTTATTTTTGGGGTAGGTCGTATTTTCGGGAAAACATGGTACATTATAAATAATAGCCTTGCCTTTTCTCCACTGTCTACCATCATGAATATTTTTATCCAAAATGTATATCTGGAACTGGATTTGTCTCAATTTTATTTGATTCTCAGCAATTTCATTGGGCTGATTTTTAATTATTATGATTTTTTTACTGTTTTTTTATATCATGCTTTGATAAAAGAGCATAATAAATACACCATTATCTTTATATGTTATGGAACAGTCCTCTCCCAATTTCTTCTCTTTAGATAGGTTACAAATTGCTTTTATTGATTTTATGTAAAACTACAAGCCTCTTTAATTGGAACAATTAACACACTTCAGTTCTAAAAGCTAACCAGCATTTTTTAATTTGTTGATTATAAAAAAGATTCTTAGTATTCTGCACATTTTTTCTAGATTTCTTCAGTACTACACAGAATTACTTGTATAGTAAATGTTATCCAGAGAAAAGAGGAAGCTGGGCCAGTTCTTTGGATAATTTAATCATTTTATAGACAGCAAACAAATGTTATGAATAAATATTGGTACAACTGTATATAGGTAAATATATATATATAGTTCAATTACTTCTCTGGATCCTAAATTATATCATGTTAAAACCATTTTTAAAAAGTTCATTTTTATTATCTATCTGCTAGCTCCCTTCCCCGCAGCCCTGCCATGCTTGCCTGCCTTCCATATGGCCTTCCGCTTGCCTGCCTTCGCAAGCTAGCCACGGGGACACCGGGAAGGCAGTGTAGAAGGCAGGCAAGCATGGCAGGGCTGCGGGGAAGGGAGTAGGCTGCTAGCTCCCTCCCTTGCAGCCCTGCCATGCTTGCCTGCCTTCCACGTGGCCTTCCGCTTGCCTGCCTTCGCAAACTAGCAACAGGGATGCCGGGAAGGCCGCGTGGAAGGCAGGGAAGCATGGTAGGACTACAGACTGTGGACCGGTTTAGGAGCGTGGCCAGCCAGTGGTTGCTACTGGTTTGGAGAACCAGCCCCAATCTCTGCTACCGGTTCACCCAAACCAGTCTGAACCGGTAGCATTTCACCCCTGGTACTTCCCCAATAAACAAGTCCTAAGTGATTTGTCTCTAACAAATTTCTCTGAAAGAAAAAAAAATGACAAACAACTTTTCCAAAATTGCAAAGCTCATTCCCAATAAACCAGTGTTTGTTAAATGATCTACTGAGAGAGAGAGTATGCCATGCCTCTTTGCCAATTAAATCACTGTATGTTATGAAATCACATGTCTCTGGCAATTTAGATACTGTTTCTTGTATGAAATCATGTCTCTGTTAATAAAGTCAGTGTCATATGAAAACACAAAGCTCTTTCTGATGAAGCTACAGTATATTTATTAAATGCTAACAGTTTTCTTCTCTAAAGCACTCAAAAAATTATAAAATCAAACGCTAGCCGCAGTGGTGCTTTTGAAAAATAGTGGTTCCCTATGCCTATTAAATAATATTTAATATTTTTCTCTGAAACAAAATTAAGAATGAAATCACATCTCTGTTGCTAAACCAACATTTATTATATAGCAGACATTTCATATGAAATCAGTGTTACTTAAATCAATGTGATAACAAATTATAAGTATCTGTCCCAATAAAGTAGCATTCCTAGCAAACCACAAGTCTTTCAGTAAACAAGGTCTGAAATCAAAAGACTCCCTTTGGAGATTTTTTATACCTAAGCCACAGTTTGTGATAGGAACGTATGAGAAGTAAATTAGTATTGGGGGGGGGGAGATCTACTTGTGTTTAGGTAATATCCTGTCCTCTGAAACAAACAGTAACACAAAACCCGAAGCATGTTTTTGCCATCTTGTTGCCGGCACCACCTTTATTTATATGCTTACTGGCCACTCCCATTCTTCTTTTGCTTACTAAGTAGGAGATATCAAACAAAGTCTGTCCCAAGGGCTGTAACTGGAAGCATTGCTCATGTGCTTTGTTACTGTGGTGCAGGCCTCCTGATGCTGTTTCCGTCTTGGATATTTTTCTTCTGTGGGTGGTGGCAGAGACTGGTGAAGAAAGTGTATAATTATAATTCACCCTCCTCTTTCTTTCAGATTTTGAAAGATGATATGAAGTATGCATAGAATTATTTCAACAACAGAAAAGAAGAAATGTGATATATTGCTAATATTGAAAAAGAAGAATCAGCATAAAATCCCTGTATACAATACGAGCTAAGAACTCCTGATTTTTTATAGTTGCTATTTTATTTTTAAAACTTTGACAAAATAATACTACAGTAGAATGTAAAAGGAAGATGAATATTATCAATAAGTATTTTTACAGTTTTTCAGATTACATCAAATTTATTCACTGGAGTTTCTGATATTCTTATGCTCTATTTTGACCAGATTTTTTAAAAAAACTATTTTCATAAACCAAATAGAGCATAACCACATTATTTAAGTGCAAGCTGAAGACTTGGAAGCATGATCACAGTGCCATAATTTTTTAAAGGCTGTTGTCTGACTTGCCTTGTTTAGCTCAGACTACTTACATCTTCCTTTATATAAATCTATATTTGTTTCCTAAATAATGGCATGGGTAAAATTCTTGAGAAAACCTGGAGGAAATCTTGGAAAAGTGTATCAGCCTGGAAGTGTGATGTCCCTGGCTCCCACCAAAGGCTTGTTAAATGAACCAGGACAAAACAGCTGCTTTCTTAACAGTGCCGTACAGGTAAGGAAGAGCTACACATCAATCCCAAAGAGCTCCATGAGTTGTGAAAGCACTGAAAACATGTTGTATTACAGATACGTTAATCGACATTCCTGGTACATGTTAAGGGTTTTCCACTTCATACTTTTGATTGTTTTGATATCCTTTGTTAAGTGAAAAGTCTTTCTAGTGGCAACAGAGAATAAATGATTACTCTGACAAGTCATAAACTCCAGTACAGTTAATTTTTATTTGGTTGCCTGTTTAAGACGAGATAATAATCAAGCAAAAAATTATAGACCAGACCAAAGATATCAAAACAGGATGGATGAAATACCAGAATGAAAGGACAAATTTTATAGGATGCTAAAAAGATAATTTATTTTGAGGAAAATAATAGTACAATGGATTTCAAAGTTCTTGATCAGTGCAATGCTTAATTTTAATTATGTCCCACCTTTATTATTTTTATAAATAACTCAAGGCGGCACACACATGCAACTCTCCTTCCTCCTATTTTCTCCAAACAACCACCCTGTGAGGTTGAGAGAGAATGACTGGTTCCGGTTTTTCATGTCTAAGGCAGGACTACAATTCACAGCCTCCTAGCCTCTAGCAAGATGCTTTAACCCCTAGACCAAACTGGCTCTCATATATAGAGAAAGATTACATAAAATTCAAAATGTATCTTTCCTTCTGTACTGGGTTAAAATATGACAATTTGAAATTTGTTCATGGAAAGAATTACATGATACGATGGATGCTTATGAGATATATTTAATAATTGGAATTATTTCTGAAATAATACACAATTAAAATTAAACCTATTTTCTTGTCTTAGAAATTGAAATGACTGCATATATAGTTATTTGATATGAATTATAATTTAGAGTTAATATACCCTCATGTACTCCATATTTGTTCCTAGCAGGAAGTGATGCCAAGTTTTTTTATTAAATGGAATCTAGTTTATTTTTGTCTTACCAAGTGATGTGTTCTTAGTTTAAAAGGCTGCTTAACTGCTGTTTCTTCTTCCAAACAGTACAAAATACTGTGTGGAATTATGGGTTTAATTATTTTGAACTTTATGAAGAGATCAAGTAATGCCCATTCTTTTTTAAAATCACAGTTCTGAAGAATGTTGCTTCAATGTGACATATAAATAAAACAATAACTATTATAGTGTTTGTGCTCATTATTGTTATGTTCAGTGAAATGATTATGATTAAATTTATGAATACTATGATATGTAAAATTATATACACACACACACAATATATATATATCCATATCCTATATCCTGTATGAATAACCATAACAATGCAAGAAAATTACTAGGTAAAATATTGCGTAAAATTATACATTGGTTTAAACAATAATAGACTGAATGAAAGAAAACAAGTTGGATAGGAAACAATTGATTGTCATTTAATATCTATTCAGAATTATTGCAGGTTCCATTAAAGTTAAGAGCATCCCCTCAAAAGCAATGTAAATGTAGTATTTCATGTTAACATGGTGCATCTGTACCAAAAAATAGCAATTAATTGTAGACATTGACCTTTAGAATAAAAATAAATCTTTGGCAAAAATGGATGTTAGTTTTTTCTTCTTTGTAGGTTTTATGGCAACTTGATATATTCCGTCGAAGTTTAAGAGGTCTAACAGGACACGTTTGCCAAGGTGATGCCTGCATATTTTGTGCTTTGAAGGTAACGTCATAATTTTCTTATTTATCTTGTATGAATGAAAAATAATTTTGGCAACTATTCATGAAAATATCTAATTCATTGACACATCAAATAAGTTAAATTATAGGGGGGGTTAATAGTTTTAATTGGTTTTGATCAATATTCATAAACTCTAAAGCAGGGGTCGACATTTTTTTTCTTTGAAAGGACTTGTTCCTTCTATTATAATTTGTGGATTTCAATATAATAATGTTAGCATTGTGAAATTGATTAGAACCTCTTTATTTTTTTAATGATACTCTTTATTTCCACAAAACTGGAGGACTCAACTTAAAAATAATCAATGGCAGATGTCTGGATTGATTCCTTGTATGGGTGTTTTGAAATTAGGTTGAGAGGTGCATGAATTGGTTTAAGGGATACTAATTGTGTGCTCTTCGTCTAAAACAGTTGTATCTTAGTAAAGGAAAAGAAACAAGTGTAATTGTTGGATACCAGTTCTTATTTAATTTACTACTAGGAATATTATATTGCCTCATTTTATTGCTGTGCTTTGTTTAGTTGCATGCTTAGAGTGAGTACACTGGTTGCTAAAGAGAAGGTAAAAAGATACAGCTTTCATGCCATGATTAGCCATTGTGGGAATTGAGTTGCTATAGTATACTAAGTGTTGATCTTTTAGCCTTTTATGATTTCCTCATCATTGTAGCAGAAGCAAACTGTTGCCATTCTGGCCCAACTTTTCTGATTTTCAATGAGTTCAAATGTCAAGAAAATTCTTGGTGGATTTTTTAATATATATTTCTAATGATGATAACTATAGTCCATTTCACATATAATTCTCTCTTATTTGAAAGGAATAATATAGCAATAGCACATAGTGCTTTACAGCAGTCTCTAAGCAGTTTACAGAATCAGCATATTGCCCCCAACAATCTGGGTCCTTATTTTACCAACCTCAGAAGGATGGAAGGCTAAGTCAGCCTTGAGCCAGTCAGGATAAATTCCTGGCAACGGGCAGAGTTATCCTCCAATACTGCATTCTAACCACTGTGCCCCCATGGCTCATGATTGTGTATTCCATACAGATTGTTCCAAGATTCCAGATTCTTGGCTTATTAATGAGATGCAGAGGAAGCAGCAGGATTCCAATTCAAACATATTGTAAACAGCCAAGGATAACAATTTTGGGTTCTTTTTAGCCTAGTAATTTGTAGGAGGATCAAAGCAGAAGTGAATTATGGTGTATCATGAGTAAATGGTATTATGTATTGGATACCTGTGTTGTGTTCAAAATGGCCATTGTTACAGGACAGTTTTCTATATCAGATAGGGAACAAGTTGCCTTTTAGTTGCTGAAGGTCAAATTCCAAGAAGTCATAGCCAGCTAATAGTGAAAAATCTTTGTTCTAGTTCAGTAGCATCTGGAGAATCATAAGTTCTCAACACCACCAAATGCTAGACTCTTTGTTTTGATGTATTCAAGTATGCTATACTGTTCCAAATCATTTAATAGATAAAATTATAAATACTGCTGTTGATTTCCAGACAATATTTTCCCAATTCCAACACAGTCGAGAAAAGGCTCTCCCTTCAAATAACATGAGGCATGCCTTGGCTGAAAGTTTTAAAGATGAACAGCGATTTCAGCTTGGTTTTATGGATGATGCAGCAGAATGTTTTGTAAGTATCATGATATTACAGTATTTAATATTTATTTTAGATATTGTTTTGATTTTTGGAATTACTGCAGAAGAGCCATATTTGATATTTCAAAAGATGAATCAGTTTAGGGCAATATGCTTTTGGACTCTGAAAAGGATTATAACAGCAATGATAATCTTTTTTTAAAGAGTGAAAATAAAGGTAATTTGTAATATTAAATTGTTTCAGCTATTGTATATACCTAGTTAGATAGAATTGGGTCATTATTTCACTTGATACAAAGATTATAATTCTGAATACAGAATTATATGGGAGGGATCACTAATTTTTTCCCCAATTGCTATTGTCCCTTTATCCTGGGCATAACGTGTTTCCCTGAAAATAGGACCCTGTCTTATGTATTTTTTTTGCCACCAAAAAAGGCACCAGGTCATCCACTGACTCACCTCACTTGCGTGGGTCGCCCCCGGCCTCTTCCTTCCTTCCTCCAGTAAGGCCACCAAGGCTTTCCTGAAGGCCTCTGCAGCCAATAACAGATCTCCAGATCGATCCGGAGCTCTGTTATCGGCTACAGAGGCCTTCAGGAAAGTCTTGCTGGCTGCAGCAAAAAAAATGGGCCGAGGTGTGCGAGGCCTACTGCAACTATCCAGAGGTAAGTAGTAGGGCAGCTCCACCCCCCCATCCCCACCCTAGCTTAATTTTTACCTGTGCGCCCTGGAGTGGAGGGGGTCTTAATTAGGGCTTATTTGGGGGGGGGGGTAGGGCTTACATTCATTGCACGTGTAAAAATCAAGCTAGGAGTTACTTTCTGAGTAGGTCGTATTTTCAGGGAAACATGGTAGGAACCTAGTTTATTTCAGAATGAAAAAAATTGTTGTTGTGAGATAAAAATGACTATATTGAAACATATACAAGCCATTTTGAAGCTTCAATTGGTGAAATGTATTACCCAAAAGAGCAGATTGGGGACAGATATTGTTTGCATATGATGCCTCTTATAGTCAACACCAACTTGATTGCATATCATTATCATGATTAATATAAAACATTTACTTGTTCAGGAAAATATCCTTGAGAGAATTCACTATCACATAGTTCCAAGCAATGGAACGGATATGTGCACTTCCAAATCCTGCATAACTCATCAAAAGTTTGCTATGACATTATATGAACAGGTAAGATATTTATTCATATTTATTTTATTCCTTTAACATTTTAAAATCTCTAAAAATTACAATAAACCTTTCTTTTATTTACAGTGTGTATGTTGTGCTTGTGGGGCATCTTCAGACCCTTTGCCTTTTACAGAATTTGTACGTTATATTTCAACAACAGCATTATGGTAAGGAAATGTATTTTTGTTGTGCTTTGTCTTTTTTCCTCCTTTGTTCACATAAGTTAACAATTTTAGTGTGAATAGTGAGACACAGCGTAGCAAAATACTAGCTTTGATGAATGACCTAATTACCTCTTTATCATGTTAAAGCTGAACAACATTCACATCTGATAGTGTAATCAGTTCCTAGGAGAGGGATTTATTTATATTCTAAAAATTTCATTGCATTGTTACTAAATGAGAATGAAATATCTACTGTAAGTAGCCTTGGGTATATTCTATTGATAAAAACACTAATGAACACAATAACATGTACATGCTCAGCTTCTGGTGACTTGATGGACAAGTCTACATAATTTCCTTCACAGAAAATTGTGCAGAAATGGTTTGCTATTGTTTTCTTGGATGTTTTTCCAACTGTATGGCGTTATAGCATTAGGATTTTCTGGTAGTCCCTCATTGAAGTAGTAACTAAATCTGATTCTGCTTAGCTTTTTATTTAGCATTTATTAATCACACTTAAATAGCCACCCATCTTATAAAAAGAATTCTGGGTGGTGCACAAGAATCAGATAAAAATCACAGATATAAAATGTTTTTAAGGTTCAGAAGTCATGACAGTTGGCAACTTCTGACCTGATCAAATATTTCTTAAGGTTATTAGATCAGCCCTTATTTTCCTTCTTGGGAAATAAAATAACAGCTTGAACTAATAGGAAGTTGCTTCCTCCCAGATGGTGGAAATGAGAATTTAACTAATGTATTTCACAAGGCACAGCAGAGGAAATTTCTCCTTGGAATAAATTATCCTATTCTCCTACATGGAACGATTTCCCATCAGTCCAAGCTGTAATCCTGCTTCCAAGTAGAATGGACATTTATAGGTAAGCTAGATATATCCATTTAACAAGTATAATCTTGTTATTGTGATGGAATGGAATAACAAACATTTGTTTAGACATTTGCCAAATTTTAAGCCCATAAATAATGCATTCTACAAATGAAATGTCCAGGGAATGTTGAAATTATAGCAAATGTTTTACTTTGTCAATATAGCCCAATATTTTTAATTACATTGGAGAAGTTTATTGCAGTATATTTGCCTCATATGATCAGAAATGGTCAAACCATGTTTTTTTTCCAGAAGCATTTTTTAAGAAATTCCAGTCGTAAAAACAATAGCAAACTGTTGTAGTTTTGACCAGAGTTCAGTTCGTAAACTGTTAAGGCATCCTGTCTGGTTTTAAGGTCCAAGCATCTGATTTTTTACATCCTTGAAAATATTTACATTCATATTTACATAATACATTTTATTTTCATGTATCTTTTTGTATTTGTAATATCCTGTAAGATTTACATAGTCCCAAATAGATCTAAATCTGTAAAAGAAATAATGTTTTTTTTCCCCTAATCTTGCTCACCACTTTTAATGTAAACAGTAAAATGTCCACTTTCAACCATAGAAACTCACTTGGGAAATGCCAGTCATGATCTCATCTCAGTCTACCACACAGGGTTGTTATATGGAAGAATGGGATGAATTAATGCTATTGTGCTATCTTGTACCCCTTAGTACAATAATATAAATCTTACAAATATAAGAACATTCTGTTAATTGCAATAATAAAATGGACTAAATTGAATTATTTCATTTACAGCAATGAAATTGATAGAATGGTGGAAAGGCATGAAAGACTCAAGCCAGAAATGTTTGCTCAACTGCTTCAGACTGCAAATACTACAGATGACTTCAGGAACTGTCCTGTAAGTTTACCAAAGAAATAGTGGTGTTCTATGGGGGGTGGGGGGGGGGGGTGGGGTTTCCCTGATAATGATAAATCCAAATTTTTAACATTAAGTGAATAGTTTGTTTTTAAAACTTTTCTTGGCAGCTCAATGTAGCCTTCAAATACTTAAATCATAAATCAAATTAGTACATATTGTCATAAAAATTTAAACAAGATCCCAGGAAAAGTAACCTCTTAAACAATTATTTGGTTTTGACTCTCAGATAAAATAATAGTGATTTGAAAAAGGTTAATTGCTTTTAAAATACTGTAATATATCAAAACTTATTGTACAGAAAGTCTTTACATTATCAAGTATAAAAATTATCATTTTGGAGAATTTAAAATAACTGGTGATTTATTTTTAATAAAAATCATAGCTTATTGATACACAGAACAATTAATTGCAATTAAATACTTCAGTTTTAGAAAACAGTGGCATACCTTAATAGTTATTAAATTGGATTGTCTTAACAATTAGTTTTCAAAACAGTCTTTGTTGCAGGGCGGATAAAAATCAATGATTTTTTTTAAAAAATAAAAAAAATCAGATTTTTTTTATTTAAATTGGATTTTTTTGATTTTTATCGAATTTATTATAATAAAAAACTTGGGGTAAAAATCTATCGTAGGATAGTTTTCTATTTAAGATACATAAATAATTTAGTTTATTCAGCATGAAATGGAGCTTAGTTATGTAGCATGAGGCTGTATATTCTGCAACACTGGGACTATCAGTGAGTCAACAGTGGGTCAAAGGAGTAGCAGAGATGACAGTTGCTCTTTAAAAATTATGATTTAAATCGAGTTGATTTAAATCAAGCCTTTTTACTAGTGATTTAAATCATGATTTAAATTGTGATTTAAATCAACTCGATTTAAATCAAATCCACCCTGCTTTGTTGTGAGTAGTTTTTCCATTATGCCTCTTATAAGGGTTGCAGGAATGTCTGACGCTATGCCACAGCAGTGACCAAAAAATTAAATTACACTAATTTGTTTTACTCTCTAAAGAAACTTACTTTAAAGAAAAGTGGTAGGAAACTCAGATGAATTGCTGCATATTGCTAACATATTTAAGTTTTATAACTGATCATTTAGATCAAAAATATAGTCTTCTAAGTGAATTTTATGTGGTTTATATAAAGCTCTTGACATTCAAAAGCATCTAGATCATACTATTTGTCCCCTCTTCTTTTTTTGTAGAGCAATTGTGGCCAAAAAATTAAAATCCGCCGTGTTCTAATGAA